AAAAGATAAAATATTTGTTTGTCAGTTTTTTATTTCTTATTTTTATTTTCTTTTTTATATTCTTTCATTTTTTATACCTTTCCCAAGATTTCTTGATAGCTTTTCCACTTAAAAATAGGCTAAAATTTTACTAAAACCTCTTTAAGAAATTTCCATTGCATTACCAGGACTAAAATATAGTAGATAAAATTTTTATCTTTTCTAAAAATCAAGTCTTATATCATCATTTAAAAAAATATAAGCATACAATAATATAAGTAACAAATAATAATGTAAATATAGAATTATAAAAACGCATTCCAGGTGAATTTGCGTGGGTTGTTCCACTGATCGCCATCATCGTCATCATCCTTCTCCTCCTGGCCTCGATTTTCATCTGTGAATTCCGGCGTAAACGCCGCGAGCAGCTACTGTAAGTGAAAAACCGATTTACGGAAATCACAATCAATAAAGCAAAAAGAAATCAGGGAAAATAGGCGAAATCCCCAAATTTTCAGGAACCAATACGAGCCAGCCGAGGAATAGAGTTGGCGTTCTCGACTCATTGTCAACCAGTCCACAAATTATGCCTTCATATGTTGATGCTCACCGCCTTCTCGCTCCTCTTTGCACATTAATGATATAAAAATATACAAAACTAAAATATATAAAAACTCTTTTTAAAGGGATGCCGACGGCATAGTGTATCGGTTACGCGCGGAAAATAAAATGTCTCTGCGCCTCTCCCCTGGGCGCGCTCTCTCCCCTGTTGGCTACTTGCCAATTTGTTGATGAGGGGGGATCGACACATGCCGTCGGCAGCCCTTTAAGCATCAAGCACCCGCGCGTGTATTGGCCTAGCACTTCTCCCGATGTAGCCCCCCGTACCGGTTCTAGACGATTTTATAATTTTTCTAAATTAAAAAATCGTGAAGCGGAAGCCCGCTTTTCCCTCTGGATTGACCCTGCGAATCGACAGAGCATAATATAGAGCATCTCCGCTTACCTCTTTCCCTTTTGCCGACTGCCACACCCCCGAATTCTCTTGTACTTATGTCGTTTTGTGATAATTCACCACCTTTCAAGCGTTTTTGCTTTTCATCTTGGCCCCAACATCCATCTGAAAATCTCGAATTATGGTATTAAATATTGCGTTGTCCGGTTTTGGCTTGTACTTTGCAATATATTGCGAATAAATATGGTTTGTATTTTTAGAGAAAAAATAAAGAACTTTGCAAACCCTAAAAAGCAACTTAAAGGGCTGCCGACGGCATGTGTCGATCCCCCCCTCATCAACAAATTGGCAAGTAGCCAACAGGGCAGAGAGCGCGTCCTGGGGAGAGGCGCAGAGACATTTTCTTTCCAGCGCGTAACCGATTGACTATGCCGTCGGCATCCCTTTAAAAACGAGAAAAAAAATACAGTTTTTAGGACAGAAATTGCAAAAATGATCGTGAATTGCCGAATGTGGAGAGGGCAATGAGTCAAAATGTGTATTGGAGCGCCGCGTTTTGCGCAAAACGAGTACGCGTCGCTTCAGTTTACGGCTTTACTCTGTGCGCCAGTTACATTTTCCGCGGGTTTTATTCATTTTGGGACGTGCCTGACCATCCCTTTAACATCGAGATGGCATAGGCAAAATGTGCATTGGAGCGTCGCGTTTCCTAAAGAGCTACACGGCACTACACCTTACACGATTACTCTATGCTCTCTCTACCTTTTCACATTTTATTATCTTTCTAGCAAGTACGTGACGATCCGTTTAACCCTCCCAGCAATACAGCGGCCATAGCCCGTTTTCATATTTGTTTTTATCGATATATCGCTCTCCCGAACTTTACGGTGGCCCGGTCGGCCGTAAAAAGCGGAAAAATCGGCCTCTGCCGCCTGCACCCCGGCAAAGAAGCCGAAGTGCTGATAAATTATCAGCAGGTATCCAGGATGGCAAATCCGATTGTAAACGTGCCCATCATATCGCGGGGGATTGCACAGCCCGTGACCGGTCTATATCAGCGAGCTGAAGCCGTGTACAGGGCATTGGTCGAAGAGCAGCACCGCACTTCCAGAAACCTCTAGATTCGAGCGCTGTATCCATTTATTTTGTTAGCCTAGAGTTTAAACTATAGAAACATTCATTTAACTATAGACAAACTTACAAAAAGTGGTACATTCGTTTGTTTTAATGACTTTATTTCGTTATCGTTAACTCTATGAGTTTAAAACTTGGAAAACATTGATTTAACTATAACATCTCCTACAAAAAAATTATTTTATTTTGTATCTTTACGTTATGATAGGTATTATAGCTTAGAAACAACCATTTGACTATAGAAACACCTAAAGAAGGACTACTTTATTTGATCTTACGTTACTTTCCTACTTTTCTTATTAACTTTTAGATGTCGTGGATTTAAACTGTCAAAACATTGAGTTAAGGATAGAAGAACGTATTGCTTTACTTTACGTTACGTTGGTTTCTTTCTTTAACCATTAACCTTCCATAAACCAAATTTTAGATGAAGCCGCTGTTGCTTCTCCTGCTGGCCGTCTTGGCCACCTTCGCCCTGGCGGAGGTGTATCAGCACAAGCTGATCAAGATCGAGTCCCGAAGGCGGCGCATGATGAGGGCTGGGTAAGCTGCACCTTTTTAAAACTATTTTCGTTCGTTTAGTACCTGGCGAGCGCATCTGCAGAAGCGGGCGGTGATGCGTGCCCTGCGACCGCATCGTCGTGATGGGTACCCGCAGAAGGTGTACGATTGGGATGATGAGGAATATCTCGGAAATATCACCATCGGAACGCCCGAGCAGCCCTTCAGGGTTAGTGGATCTTGTAAAGCTAGTGTTTTGCTAATTCTGGAGGGTAGAACACCTTGTGGAGGCAATATTCACTCTTGGAAACCCTTGCTTTTGCGCATATCAAAAACTTTTAAAAACCCTCTATAGATTTTTACAAACTTCTATCTACGACCTCTAGATCTAAAAATACATCAAGAACGCTAAAAGTCAGTAGAAAATGCTTTTATACTGCGGCAAAAGCTCGATAAACTTTTGTAAACCTGCAGTTACGCATTATACACTAAAACGCTAAAAATCTTTAGAAACTTAAAAAGCTCGTTAACCCTTTAGAAACTTGTAAAGGATTTTACCTCTAAAGATAATTAGATAAGAGATAAATTATGCAAAAGAAAGAATCATGAATTAAAAACTATGAAAGCCAGCAGGAAAACACACTTTTTTCTACTATAAGTTTTCCTTTTTGAGGTAATCCTCGACACTGGCTCCTCGAACCTGTGGGTTCCGGATTCATCTTGCGATGGCCCGGTCAACTGCCAACATTGCAAGGATATGGGCATCTTCTGCAATCTGATCTGCGACGATCCGAGCTGCTGCACCAATTCTCCGGTTGCCGCCGGCAAGGTGCCGCCAAAGATCCGTGGGGCGTGCGATGGAAAGAACAAGTTCGACGAGTCCAAATCGACCACTTACAAGGTAAATTTGTCCGTTTTTAGCTCAACGTTTTATTTAGAAAGACGGCTGGCCATGGGAGATCGAGTACGGCACCGGATCGGCTGACGGATTCCAGGGAATCGACACTGTTCGGTAGCTTTTAAAAATTCCAACTTCTAAATTTTAAAATCTAGAATATTTTTTAAAATACGTATGACTTCATAATGAACGTAATACGTTCCTTTTGTATTTTCCATCCTTCCTGCCTTTTGCAAAGCGAAAACTAATAGATATATAATCGAAAGCAACGTTAAAAAGGATGAAATTGGGCACGAAACTTGCTTACAAAACTGTTCTGCTTTAGTTTCGGTGAACCGGGCACCAAGCAGCTCGTCGTCCCCTCCACCACCTTCGGCCAGGCCGAGGAGGTAGTTTTTAGTTTAAAATGTACAAACATTTTACATACTTTTATATGCTTTAAACGAAAAATCGACTTTAGATCGCCGACTTCTTTGCCGACGATCCGATCGACGGTATTCTCGGCCTCGCCTTCACCGCCATCTCCGTCAACGACGTTACGGTATAGGGATCGCGATCTCGAAATTTTCAACTTTTTTCAGCCCCCACTGGTCAACGCCATCAACCTCGGCGTGCTCACCAACCCGATTTTCACGGTTTTCCTCATGCACCAGTTTGATGGAGGTTTGTTAGTACATATGAGAGTTATCAAATGTTGCACTGTAATTCACTAATTATGAATATTTAACTCCTAAAAACTCTTTTTTACCTCTAAACTATGCTTCGATACTTTAAATTACAATTTAAAATATATTTTCACATAGTTTAACGCGTCTTTTAGCCAAAGTTAACGGTTTCACACAAATGTGGCCGTCGGAGCCGTACGACATTTTTCAATTTTCGCTACCACGAACGACCAAACTAAATCCCCTTTTTCAGAGGGAGTTTACGGTGGTGTGTTCACGTACGGCGACTTGGATAAGACAAACTGCGGTGATCTGATCGCTTATCAGGTGAGTGTCGTGGTCACCGGTCAGTCGCCACAGGGAGAAATCGTCGTGGCGAAATGTGACGGAGCCGAAGCGCTGGGTTGTAAAGTTATACTCCCTAATTGCGCTTTTTCGAGCTTCGAGATAGGAAAGGGTAGAGCATCGAAACAACTCCGAAAAACTACTCTAACGGAAGCTATAGGCTAGCTAAGAGAGTATATTTCTCTGCTAGCCACCCATCTTCGATTCCCTAAAGATCTCTGCTAGCCACCCATCTTCCAATCCCTAAAGATCTCTGCTAGCCACCCATCTTCCAATCCCTAAAGATCTCTGCTAGCCACCCATCTTCGATTCCCTAAAGATCTCTGCTAGCTACCCATCTTCCAATCCCTAAAGATCTCTGCTAGCCACCCATCTTCCAATCCCTAAAGATCTCTGCTAGCCACCCATCTTCCAATCCCTAAAGATCTCTGCTAGCCACCCATCTTCCAATCCCTAAAGATCTCTGCTAGCCACCCATCTTCCAATCCCTAAAGATCTCTGCTAGCCACCCATCTTCCAATCCCTAAAGATCTCTGCTAGCCACCCATCTTCCAATCCCTAAAGATCTCTGCTAGCCACCCATCTTCCAATCCCTAAAGATCTCTGCTAGCCACCCATCTTCCAATCCCTAAAAATCTCTGCCAGGCACCCATCTTCCAAACCCTAAAGATCTCTGCCAGGCACCCATCTTCCAATCCCTAAAGATCTCTGCTAGCCACCCATCTTCCAATCCCTAAAGATCTCTGCTAGCCACCCATCTTCCCCAGAGACTTTGGGGGAAATAAAAAAATCCTACTATATACCAGATGGTTACAGTCGCTTCGCGACTGCAACCATCTGGCCTTCGGGCTACCCTACATGTCCCACTCCACCACATCCTTTCCCCCCTCGATCAGTACCCCCCATAGCCGAAATCCCCTTCAAAAACTACTTAAATACCTTCCTGATGGCTTCAGATACCCCCCATGGCTGAAATCCCCGTCAAAAACTACCTAAATACCTTCCTGATGGCTTTAGATGATTTAAATAATTAATTAACATAATTAAAAAGTATTAAAAAGTATTAAAAAGTATTAAAGTAACTTAAAAAGCTATCTGGGCGCGGGAAGGGGCCTGGGGAAGAGGGGCGAAGGGAAAGGGGGCGTGGCTCCCACCCCCACCCCTTTTATTAAGGAAAAACTTTCAAAGTTAATTTTAATAATTTAAACTAAAACTTTTTCATAATTTTTTTATCAGTTTGGGGGTTTCTGACCATGCTCTATCCGAATCCGAAGAGAGCTAAGCTCTAGCTCTTTTCCCCTTCGAGTTGAATTCGGGACCGGACAGACGGACAGACAGAGGGGGACCACAGCAAAATTATTATAGTTGATAAAAAAATAGTGTTTGTGTGTGTGTGTGTGTGTGTGTGTGTATTTGCATGCATTTCCGTTAGGATGTTCCGCTCCTACAGCCATGGGGAAGGGTTTTTTGGATATGGAAGAAACGACAATAGGTTTAGAATGGTCCGGAATCGACTGCACACACATAAAAATTTTGAAAAATCGCGGTTTTCGCTATTAAAAATAGGTTTTTGTAAAACCCTGTTTGTTAGGGGGAAATTAGCATACGCCGGAAGTAGGAAGAGCCTATATAAAGGGACAGAGGAACCGTTTTTCACTTTTTTTTTCTTGCTAGAATTCAGGAAGAAACATGCAAATTAAGGACTTTCACAGGTCCTGGACGGGGCCAGGGTTGAAAAGCCGCGAAGCGGTTTTTCAACTCTGGTATGTACATATTTTTAATAGCGAATTGCAATGTTTTAATACAGATTGAGTGTATATAATTATATAATTTATGGAGCCAATCAATTGAATAACATTTTACAGACCCTCTCCTCTGCCACCTACTGGGAATACAAGCTGGACCACGTGTCGGCTGGTGGATTTGACACCAAACTCGGACTCTACGCCATTTCCGGTTGGTTTTAGGGCGAATTTAAAGTGGAATGATAGTTTTTTTTTAGTTAATTTGAATGACCTTAAAAGCCATTTTTCCTAGATTTCCTAACGTAATCGCTTAGACACCGGCACCTCGTTCATCGGAGGACCCCAATACGACACCGACAAGATTGCCGCCGGCTACGGAGCCACCTGGAATGACGAGGATCAGGTATTTGGCCTTTAAAATAATAACAAAATATTGATAGTAGAAAATAGACATATTTTAAACTCTGGTTTAGGTCTACGAGATTGACTGCAAGGCAAACCTCGGCCCGTTCGCCGTCACCATCGGCGGAATCGTCTACAACATTCAAAAGTTAGTTGGAAAAGCTTCTTACAGGTTTTAGAAGAAAATTCAATTAGCGGACATGAGGGTAAAGTGTAGCGTCTTGTAGTCATGCCTTGACAACGCGGCGCTCCTCTGTACCTTTTCACCTAATGCATTCTAAAAATTTTAAGCTTTCGCTACAATAGTATCTTCGTGAACTTTAAGTGGCTTTATCAAATTATTTATTTTATTAAAACTTTATAACCGCAAAACTGCAGGAATAACATGATCGTGCCGTCGGATCAACCCGGTAACTGCTGGCTGGCCCTGTTCCCATTCGACTCGCTGTTCATCCCGCCGCAATGGATCCTCGGAGACCCCTTCATCAGACAGGTAAGTAATAAGAGGAAATTAATTGTAATTAAATACAGTAATATTAACACAATATAAAATCATAATACAAAACCCCCCTTACAGTACTGCCACACATTCGACTATGGCCGTCAGCGCATTGGCTTCTCCCCCAGTCTTCAGAAGTAAATCTATGTACTCGCGTGTATATTTATGTGCTCAAATTGAATAAAAATATTTATATATTGAAAAATGCATTGTTATCGTGCGGAAATGGAGGCGCTGGATGGTGGGGAGGATGGGGTCATCGGCTTACCGCAAAGCGTCGAGAGTAGCTGGTGGATATGGGCCGCCTACAGGTATGGATTTTTGAGTTATTCTTTCATTAAAAAAATCTAAAAATTTATAATTTTTATAATTGAAATAGACCATTTAAGAATATTGGAATATATGCAAAAAATTCATTTTAATATTCGCCAATAATCTCTGCTAGCTCACCCACCTGTTTCGTGGCAATCCGAAATTCCATGATCCTTGGGCTCTGCATGTCAATGTACGGCTTATCATCTGGCGGTGTCCACACCAGGTGCTAAAATGGTTACGGTATTTTTCCAGGTTTTAGCAAGGACGACCTGAAGTGAAAACCGGAAGACCAAGGCCTTGGTCTCGTCGTTGATCACGTGGATCCCATCGTCGTTTACGCCCACGCGGACCGGGATTATCGTTTGGAACGGCTGAATTCGGGGGTACGGTAATTAGGGCGTCAAAATTATTAACGAGGTACCGATTCGTTAGCGGGGGTCTAACTTTTTCATATATTTCTGTAGGCGCCCTTGACGAAATGGAAGCCATTTTCATTGGAAATAAAAATTTTATAAAAAAGTGAATAAAAATCTAAAAATAAACGTTTTCACCGAAAAATGGTAAGATCTTGGTCAACTAGCAAAAAAAATCAAAAAAGGTAACGAACCCCTCGCCCCGCTAATGAACCAGGACCGGGAAAAAGGCATAAATTCCAACCTTGGTAAGGTACAGCTGGGCATCAAAAAGTGAGCTCCGTAGGCGCCGAAACCCCAGCAGGTGTGAAGGAACGTCAGCTGTAGGGACAGAAGGTTCTGATTTTGCAGCGTCTAAAACTTAATTTTACATACCTACTACATATTTTTATATACTATTAAAAAACTAACTTCGTATTCCTTGGCAATGTTCATCAACGTGCGTTTGGGTTCCTTATTGGCCAAGTGCGGCGGCATCACTACCTTCAGGTTAGGCGCGCTAAAAAAGATTTATATAAAGTATTTTTTACTTTTTTATGCAGTGACTTTTAAAAAAGCGCACGTCGCCCACCTGACAGTATGTTTTGGGCCGTAGATGATTGCCAACGAGATGGCGGCCAGGGTGATGGCATCCTGAGCATCGCATGGGTAGAAGCCGCGCAGAAAAAGACCGCGCGCCTCCTCGTACAGCAGATATAGGGCCTTGTCGTTGAATCCTGCCTGGAAAAATGCAAAGTGAAAAAGTTTAAAATAAATCGTATAAAAAAGCGTATTTATTATTTAAAAAATAAATCGTATAAAAAACCATATTTTTCAGACCTTTTTCTCCTCGGCTAATGGGCAATGAGCATTATGGCGGAAGACAAGCCGCGGTTTGCTGGGCTTTCGCGCGTCTCTCCCTTCCAGCGGCGTTCCCCAGCGCTCCACCTAAACAAATATTTTCACTTTTGCCATAGAATTCCTTACAGAATTTGCCCATTTCTTTGGAGCCATATGGTGCAGAACCTTGTGCTCCTTCTTGAGTTGGAGGGCTGAAAGTATGGAGGTATAACCATATTTATTACCAAGATGAATGTCCAACAAATACCTACAAAGCTCGTCGGAGACCAGCCAGAGGGCAAACACCGGTCGACACGATTCATCGAATCCATATTCTTTGAACACGGCGTCGAGAAGCTAAATTTTCTCTATTTGGTTGAATGACGAAGAACTTCTGTAAAAAAACATAAATACTTTGACGAAAATCGGCCATTTTTACTCGAAAAATTAATACTTTTGTATTAGTTAATAAAAAATTGTAAAGTTTTTACGTGTAGAGATGATAAAAAAATAGAAAAATTAGAAAATTGGATTTTAAGGATAGGCCTCCCCCGATAATGCGCAAGCACCGATTATACACAATTCCC